TCACTGGTGCTATATGTTTGTGCGTTCGTGGCGAGCGAGAAGGAGGAGGAGGAGGAGGAGGAGGAGGAGGAGGAGGAGGAGGAGGAGGAGAGGGAGGAGGTCGAGGAGGGGGAGGTAAAGGGGGGGATGAGGATGAGGAGGAGGAGGAGGAGGAGGAGGCCTCTCGTTGGCTTCTTGTGCCGGCGAATCTCTGTCGCCATCCGCTACCATTGTGGGAAGAGGTGTTTTTTCGCTGCGGAATGGGCGGGGCGGAGTCCACGCACCACGATGGGCCGCTTTGGCGAGAGTGGCATCGGCTACGCTGTCTCAAGCCACATTCCCACCACCAACCGCCGCGCCGCTCTGCCCAGCATCCCCTACTCTGCCTCACCTCCCATGTGGTTTTTCTCCTGCTCTTCCTCCCCCTCCTCATCGGCCTGTCTGATGTTCTTACTTTCGGAGCGGCGCTCCAGGGACCGCGCGGCCTTGATTTGAGCAGGCCCCCCCCCCTGGGCAGACCGGCTCCCAGGGCAGCGATCGACGATCTCTCATGCCATCAGGAATCAGGAATCCAGAGGAGTAGCTGGCAGACGGGTGCCTGCTCTCGCCCCTCCTCCCGCCGGTGGTGCCAGGCGGCGCGGGCGCACGCGACGAGCGAGGGCGCTCGGCGCTGAGCGGGAGGTTCGGGACCTCTCTCGGGCTCGAGATCGGGTCGGAACGCGTTGCTTCGGATCCTCGCAGAAGGGTCCTGGTGGCGGGCGGCCTCTGAGAGTTCTCCCCCCCGACGTCGCGGCGAGGGCCGCGATTTCAGTGGCTCCGCCTCCTCGTCTTCCTCATCTCGTCCTGGCTGGGGCGCTGAACGTGGGAGGGGGGTACGATCTCTGAGCAGCGGCTCGAATCAGTGGCTGAGCATATGCAGTGATGAGGTCCCGCCAGATTTTCAGTTCAGGGCCGAAGGGATGCTGGGGTCACCAGCAGCGCGAGGAAGAGCATGCGTGCCACAGTGACCTCCACTCTAGTTTGCTGTCATCGCACGTTCCCTGAGATGTTTGGATGTCGGGGCATCACAGGTCGCTTGACTCGGTCGCTCAGTTCGCAAGTTTGCATCGGACCCTTTTTCGCGCTGTTGCTATGGCGAAGGAGGCCAGTCTTCTCATTTCAATGCTCTCAAGTATATACGTACAGCGGTGTGGTTCAAGCACGGTTTGAATCCAGTTGCGCGCCTGCGCGAACCCGCCACCGCGCTTGATGGGAATGTCTGGGCGAGGGGCGGGGCATGGGTGGGGAGGCCGCGGGGAATGCCATGGATGGTCCCACCCGCCACTCAGATGTTGCCTATGTTTTGGGGCGTTGGACACAGACGCTGGGATTTTGTATAGACACTGAAGGCATGCCAGGTTCGGTGCATCCGAGGCCACGGTTGTTATTTCGAGGGAATCGAAGCTCATGAAACAAACAAGGCATTGACAGACACACACGCACACAAACTATACCGTTGCAAATGCGGTGGCGTGTCTTCCACTTGACAGAAACCATGGAGTCGTTATCGCATGCTTTTCTTCGATGTTGCACTCAGGCGCTTTTGTCAACCCCTTACTTCATTCACCTGTGGACTGCTTGATCACGAGAATGCGATTCTGTCGTCAGGGAAAGGAGGGGGGCGGAGGAGGCGGCTGAGAGGCAGGGAGGAACGCGACGGGAGCTGTGAGGTGGAGGGCGCAGAGGAGGCCCGGCGCAGAGGGGCGGTAATGTAGGAGGAGGCAACGGAGAAGGAGGAGGACAACGAGGATGAGGACGAGGCCATTGGTGCTGGCGCGGGTCACCTCGCAACTTGATTGCCTGGCTCATGGGCCGTGGTCTCCAGTCGTGGGCGCTGTGGTAACATCGTAAACCGAACTGCGTGCTTGTGCCCACCCACCCCGCATTAAAATCCATAATCATCCTGGGCCCACTCTCCTCCCAGTCTCCCCTCCACCTCTCCTCCCACCCGCATCCTCCCAGCTCCCACTCCCTCCATAGGCACCCCCTTCTCTCCTTCTTCCGCCCTCCAGCCTTCAGTAATGTTCGCTTCAATCTGACCTGGTCTGCCTGGGTGGCGGCCCTGCAGTGTCGCTTAGGATGGCGCCCATCGGTGGCCCGGATTTCCCGCTCGCACTCTTATCGTGAAGCTTGTGATTCTCCTCGTTATGGTGTTGCAGCTGGCTGCGTCAATATCCTCATTCCTTCGGCTCTGTACTAAATCATGTTTTCCTCTTCCCCTTACCGGTCCCCCAGCTTTCGACGCTGGAAGAGGAGGACGTTGTTTTTTTGTTGTTGTGGTCATTCTCCCCCTCGTCCCCGTCGTTGTTCTCTCTCTAATGCCAGTGGTTGCTGCGAGGACGTTCTCGACCTCCGCGACGCAGGCTGGATCAACACGAAGACAGCCACCAAGGCATCGCGCCGACCAGCCACGGCTGCTAATCGTGCGGAGGAGCATGGCCACATTGATTATGGGACAATTCGTTTGCGATCTGCTGGTGTTGCGAGTGCTCGTGCCGACTATGACACACCGAGCGCGCGTAGTCAGAGTAAGAGCGCCAAACGATCCTCACACAGTCCTAGGGTGTGTGGATGAAGGGGGGTCAGCGGTCGTATGTTCGTTCAGCTTGTTCTTATGAGGGGCAGTTCTTGTTGGTCCTGCATTGCGGGTGCACGGTCAGTTGTTCAATTGAAGTGGCCCTCCCCGTGCTCGCATCCGTTTTTTCATCAGGGATTATGTTGTTGCTCAAGTTGTGCCCCTGGGTCCCCAGCTACAGCAGCAGCGGCTCCCAGATCGTCTTCCTTCATCACGCTCTCGCTCGAGGCCCCTTCGGCATTCACGAGAGGATCGCACTCTCGCAAATTAGGAATTACACTTCCGCCCAGGACCTTCCATACTTTGATCTAGGACTTGCGCTCTCGCCCTGGACTTCCCCACATCCTGTTCAAAGCTCACGCATGAATGCTCCGCCCGCCCTAGTTGCCCGAGAGGGACCGCCCGACCCGCCCGACAGGGACCGCCCGCCCGATCTGCCTGTTAGAGCCCGCCCGCCCGACCCGTCTGTGGTGTCCGCCCGTTCGTTTGTTTGGAAGCTTTCCGACCGTTTGGATATCCCGCCCGCCTGGTCCTGGTCCAGCCATGTTTACGTCCCGCCTGCCCGACCCGCCCGCCGCTGTCGCTTCGCTACTCAGAAACTGCGCTCTCGCCTAGGAATTGCACTCACACGTTCTTTAGGAATCGCGCGCGCTCTTGCCAGCCTCCCAAAGATTGATCCAGGAATCGCACTTTTATGTCCCGCCTGACCCGCCCGTCAGGTTCGGCCCGCCTGACCTGCCCGTTTTGGGTCGCCTGCCCGACCCGCCCGTCGGGGTCCGCCCGCCCGATCCGCCTCTACTACCTTTGCCCAGTCGTTTGCGTAACAAAGGTACCCCCCCAATGCCCAGGGCGGGGGTCAAGGGTTTGGGGTATACATGTTCAATGGCACGCGGGCAATGAAGAGCGAACTGTGTCAAAAATATTGTTGTTTTTGGAGTCCCAAGTGTGGGGAACCTCCTAGTTGTTTCCACCCGCCCAGTGCCCTGAGTGGTTTTCAATTGAAGGGCCCGGTTTGGCGCTCGCACCTTCGTTTTTTTTCAGGCAAGCTATTCTTACTCGAATGGTACCTTTGGACCCTCTACCGCAACATTCATTTTCAGATTGATCGCTAACTTGCGCTCGCGTGCCACTCAACATGGATGCCCCCAAACCTTCGGTGTCCGCCCTGCTTCGTTTTCGAATGCACCCCTCTTGGAGGGTATATATCTGTCTTGCCAGCTACGTGTAGTTAGCGCGGCCCCTAAAATAAGAAGAGGAGGAAGAAAGGAGCAAGGTGAAGGTCGAGGAATAGAGGAGCAAACGAGAGGAGAGGAGGCAAGAGGGAGATACGATATGTGAGTGCAAAAAAGATCTAAAAGGAGGGAGAGGAAACATAATTAGGAGGATTGGCAGGCGGACCCCGACTGGCAGGTCAGGCGTTCGAAATCTCGAGCAAAAGAGCAATTCCCTATACATTGCGAGGACGTATCAAGCGGGAGACGCTGTTGTGGTAGTCTGGGTCCAACATCGCAGCTTGAACATTTAGATCTTCGCAAATTGAAGCCAGGGTGCGAGCCCTGGGGGGAGGTGCTTCAATTGGAAACAGTGCGCGCCAGACAGGGAGGGAGGGATGAGCACATTGTCATGCAGACGTGATCATTTCACAAGAGCGGCTCCCGCCCAGAACTTTCTCACAGGTGTTTTGTCAGTCTCGCTATCGCTGGAGATCCCTTGCGGTCTCAGTTGCGTTCCACAGTTGCGGTCTCGCCAGGAATCTCCTCCTTTTGTTGCAGGATTTTTGTTGCTCGCTACTCAGGAGTCATCAGGCACCATGAATTCGCTTTGGGATTCCTAGCGAATTAGTTTGGAATCGCTCTCCCGTCACTCAGGAATTGCACTACCGCCCAGGACGCCCACACGAATGACTCAGGAATCGCGCTTGAACGTCCCGCCCAGGCCTGCCCGTCAAACTCTGCCCGTTCCCGACCCGCCCGCTTTCAGATTCCTCCTGCCCGACTCGCACAGTAGGGTCTGCCTGTGTCGCTTTGATCGGGAGCCCGCCTGCCCGCTCTAATGTCCCGCCAGTTAGGGTCTGCCCGCCCGAGCCGCCCGTGAGGGCCCGCCCGTCCGACCCGCCCGCTAGGGTCCGCCTGCCCGACCTGGTTGTGTTGATAAACCTGTCGGGGTTTATTCGACCCACCCGCGCCGCGCCTCGCGAGCCACCCACAAATCGTTCCGCGACCCACCTGGGAAACCTCCCGCGAACCACTAATATCGTGTTGAACAAGTCGTCGCTTTCGGCGGCGGGCTCGTTTTGTTACCTAAAGATGGGCGCCGGCAGCTGGCTTCTTTCCATGTGTCGTCGAGCCTCGTAGGCCGCCGACGACCACCCGCTCCCTCACTGTGATCCCGCAGCTGCGGGGGGGCTATGGTATTTCATGTCATTGGTACTGTGTATCATGGTGTGGATGCGGCTTACGGCACCGATCTCTTCCACCTCATGTTCTCGTGTTCTTCCTGCCTCGGCGCCCCTCCACCATCTCCGTCTAGCAGGTAGGGGGAGGCGGAGGAGGATGGGGGATGGAGATGGAAAGAGGGGAGAAGGAGGAGGAGGCGGAGGAGGAGGAGGAAGAGGAGGAGGAGAAGGATGGAGGAAGAAGATGGAGGACGGGAAAGTGGATGGGGGACGGGAGCGAGGAGCGAGGCTGGGCAGGGACGAGGAGGGGGGGGACAGCGAGGAGGCGGAGGGAGGGGGGACGAGGAGGCGGGAGGAGGGAGGAGGGCGGAGGGAGGACGAGGACGGCGAGGGACGAGCGGATCCCCCGCGGCTGCGCGGGCAGGTCGAGCGCCCCAAGCGCCTCGACGAGGTGCGCGCCGAGTGGGCACAGAAAGACACGCACAGCGAGGCGGCCAAGGGCTCCGGCCGCAAGGCCCTCCTGCAGCCCCGGGCGGTCCTCTTCGCTCGCTGCATTCCAGGGGGGGGGATGGTGGAAGACGAGGGGGCGAATGAAGCGGGGGTGAGCAAGGATGGGGTTTTCAGGGAGAAGGGACGAGGGAGGGAGGAGGAGGACGATGAGGAGGGGGAGGGGGAGGGGGAGGGGAGGGGGAGGGGGAGGGGGAGGGGGAGGGAGGGAGAGGAGGAGGAGGGGGAGAGAAGAGGAGGAGGAAGAGGTGAAGGGGGTGAGGAGGAGGGACGAGGGATGAGAAGGGAGGGAGGAGAAGAATGAGGAGGGTGAGGACGAGGCGGAGGGGGAGGGATTACGTACCAGGATGATGGCAATCACAAAAGTGATTAGGTGGAGGGGGAGGGGAAGGGCTTACCATGACTACCGCAGTCACAAGAGTGAATAGGCGGAGGGAAGGAGGAGATAATTAAGTGGGAGGAGGGAGGGCGGGAGTGACGATGGATGTGGGAGGAGGAGGTGGAGGAGGAGCAGGAGGAGACGGAAAAGGACGGAGGAGGAGTGAGGAGGAAGGAGGAGAATGGAGGAGGGGAGGGGAGGAGAGGAGAGGATAGGAGAGGATGGCAAGAGGGAGGTTGGGTGGATCGTGGGTGGAGTGGAGGCAGGGGTGGCGGGGAATGGGAATGGGCGCAGCTCAACTTGAAAACGAGGACGCTCTTACTTAAGAGACTAGCCATCTGGCTTGTTCCTCCGACAACGAGAGGACCTTTGGTCTCCAGTTTCATCCCTCTGCATGTATTCGCAACGAGCCTCAGCCAGACTACGTTCGTATCGCTTTCCGGGAGGCAACATATCCTCATGCTACAGCCCCCCTCCCCCGCGCAGCGGACTTGGAAGCCATTCGGAATTCGGAGCACACCTTCGACACACTCGAGCTTACAACAGGAGGAGTTAATATGCCATTCAGTAACTTACTTTATGAGCGCAAACCTTTTGCAGCTGACGCAGTGCCTACCGTCCTCTTCGAGAAAGGGGGGTGGTGCAGAGCCTCGCGACAGTGGCCAGGGCAGGTGGAGGAATTCGACGACTCTTTCCACCGCGCTCCTGGGCCTCAGGTCCAGCACCATGGAATCCATGGTGGACCGAATAATCACCCTTCTCACCAGCTCTGCACGCCACTCGTGCGAGACAACTCTAAACCGATCGATCACAAGGGCCCAGGGTCCGTGCGAACTTATTCACCCTTCTCGTTCCCGCGCGCCATCCACTGAGCATACCCTTCACTCTGAGCCTCTTCTTCCGACATTTGGGAGCTCAATAGTATGACCACAATCGGGCCAGCGCCACGGGTGACAGGCACATGCTGACCTCTGGTTGCCCAGAGGTCGGTCTCAGAATGGGTATCACTGTGCCATTCGCAAAGCTGCTGGGGTCAACCTTGCTCATATACCGTATTGCCTGTGATGTTTGGTGTATGTATGTAGAGAATGCAAACCACAGTTCTACTTGTGTAGATATGTATGTATGTGTAAGCACATGCGTGCACAAGTACACCCATCTTCATATTATACAACATATATTCATATGCTCTACAAGCGGGCCATGCGTCCGCGTCAAGATGGACTCGAACATCATAATGTATTTTGGAATGTTGCCTGGCGAAGCCCTGACGGGAGACTCTTGACTGCAAGCCCTAGCTGGACAGTAAGCAGTAAACATCGCACCGATCACGGCGATCAAGGTGGAACCAATGCCCGCTCGTCTGCATTTCGGTTATGATCGGCGGCGCGCGGAGGGGGGTGGACGTGAGAGGTGGGCAGGCCTTCTCAGAAGGCGGCGGAACTTCTCAGAAGCCTTCCGGCCTTCTTGGAAGCTCGTTTGTCGTTCGGAGAAGGTTCGGAGACCTCCCGTGAAGGCCAGAGACCTGACTTCTGAGCAATCTGAGAAGGCTCGCCCCCTTTGCCTTCCCCCAGGGTGCGCCGCGGATATGAATGACCTCGGGAACTCCCCTTCCTCCTCCTCGTCCTCCTCCTTCCCGTCCTCTTCCTCCTCCTCCTCCTCCTTCCCGTCCTCTCCCTCCTCCTCCTCCTTTTCCTCCTCCTCCTTTTCCTCCTACTCCTCCTTCCCGTCCTCTTCCACTGAGGGTCCTCCCCTCCACTCCTTGCTCGCTTTCTCCTCCATCCCATCCTCCGACTCCTCGGCCTCATTCCAGAGGGGCTTCGAGGGCGCTGCTCGCCGCGCGCACCTCCTCCTGCTCCTCCTCCTCTCCTCCTCCTCCTCCTCCTCCTCTCCTCCTTCTCCTCCTCCTCCTCCTCCTCCTTGGTCATCCTCCCGCTCTTCTTCCTCTCCTTCCTCATGTCTTTCGTGTTTCTGGAGGCAACTCTCGGAATTCATCCGCCCTGTCCTGTCCTGGTCCCTTTCGGAAAGCTTTCCGTTTCTTTCTCCCTCCGTCTTCTCTCCCCCATCTCTCTCGCTTATAAACAACTCCTCCCTGTAGCACCGCAAGACGGGTCTGTAGCCCGGGCCGGGCGTGTCGCCTGAGATTTCCACACAATGTATGATCTTTGAGCTGAAAGGTTGCACCAGTTTGACGAATGGACGCCTTGCCGTTTTTTTCTTATCAGGTTCTCGCAATAGCGTCGCGCACATTGGTCGTAAAAGTTTGCACGAGCTTCGCGGATGGAGAGCTGGCCTTTGTCAAACCGTGGTTCTCGCAATATTGCCGCGCACATTCCTCGTAAACGTTTGCAAGAGTTTCACAGATGAAGGGCGGTAACATGTGGCTCTCTCCTTCGCGCCTCGCACATTTGTCTTAAGAGCTCTCAGTTTTATGGTTGGCGTCCACGAAGTGGTGTTTTGGCACGATGTAGGATTGCCAGGGCGCAACAGGTACCTTTATTCGCTGTGTCGAAGTCCTGGGACTTGCACTGCTCAGGATGGCCAGGACGGAACAGTAAAGTTGATTCGCGGCGTTGAAGTTTTAGGAATGGCGTTATGGCACGGTTTAGGATTTTCAGACGGCTGTGTTGCAATGGAGTATTTCCTTCAGTGGGAATGAGTTTTGTAGTGACTTATGAATCGGGAACTTGGAGGGAGGGTGTATTGCAACATCGTTGATGAATCTTGGGTTTACTATGGTCCTCTCCTCCTCTTCCTCCTCCTCCTCCTCATCCCCCCCTTTCCCTTCCTTCTCACTTATCTTCCTTCTCCTTGCCTGGCCGTCTGCCTCGACATCCGATCCTCCTCCTTCTCCTCGACCTCTTCATCCTCCTCATCCTTCTCCATCCCTCGTGCTTGTGACAAACTCCTTCCCTTCCGCACCACCAGACGTGTCCTTAGGGCGGGCTGGGCGTTTCGCTCGAGACCTTTGACATATTGCGAACCAGAGGTTGAGAAGAATCCACCAGTTACACGGATGGAGGTCTGATCGTTTTCAAAATGCGGGTTTCGCCAGGATGTAGGCCAGCAGTTCGTTTTCAAATTGCGGCTCTCGCCTCAGCGTGACGCACATTCGCTTGTGAAGCTTCCAATGGGAGGCTGGTTCGTTCTCAACATGCGGATCTCGCTTGAGTCCTCTTCGAAGCCCATGGCCCGAAAGTCCACACTGTACAACAGCTGCACGGGTGGATGGTGGCTCTTTTTCAAAGTGTAGCCATCGTTTGAAATTGTCGCAAACATTTGAGCCATGAATTGTTGAAATTTTGTATCACTTATCCGGGTGAGGGGCAGATCCTCATCAAACTGAGCTGTCCAGAGACCTTTCCTGCATCTGATCAGCTGGCCTCATTGAATTTCCCTCAAAGGTAGACGGATGAAGCGTGGATCCCTTCCAAAACGGGGTTTCGGATGAGAGGGAGGCACACTTGGCGCTCGTAATTCAACGGGGCGCTTCCCGGCTTGGAAAGTGACATTCGTATGGACTTATGGAGGGAGGGGACTTGAGACGGAAGGGTGTGTTGCAGCATCGCTGACGCATCCTGGGTTTACTACGGTCCTCTTCATCCTCCTCTTTCTCCTCCCTCTCCTTCTCGTCCTATTCCTCTTCTTCTTCTTCTTCTTCTCCTTTCCTCCTCCGCTTCATCCGCATCCTCATCCTCCTCCTGAGGCTGCTTGCCCTCGTGCTTCTCCCTTACCTCCTCAGGTTCACTGCAGCCCTTCTTGGTATCGCACGCGTCATCCACGGCTCCTTCACCAGCCCTCTTTGCACCGCCACGGAGGGGGCCGGGCCGCGCTCACAGGTCTCCCGCCAGCAGTTCGCGCCACTGAGCCCTTCAGCCTGGAGTTCCGCGCCTTGCCGCTGCCCGCAGAGGTAGCCGAGAATTGGATGCCTCACAGGTCCCCGACGATACGTATCATTTTTTCGAGCCGTATTTTTGGATGATCTGGGCCATCGGGGGCAGTTTCCGGGCCCCTGGGCCATCAAACAGGGAAGCGGGCGGGACCTCCAGGGGCCGCGGATTGAAAAGACCTGATCGGACATCAGGGATCGCGCTTGCAGTTTCGCTCGTCGCTCTCGCTTTCATCACGGCTATGCGGCATGCAGTGCGGCGTCGCCGCTGGGATACATGATACATGGCAGACTGCGCGGGTAGAAGGGGAGGACAACAACACAGGTATGGACGAGAGAGTTGGGATTACGGGTCGGCGGAGCAGTCGGGGTTTCGGCTCGCCATAGGCCCGTCTGGATTTCGGCTGCTCTGATCGACGCCTGAATATCATGAGCACCGTAGCTCAGGACGCGGCGGAGATGGCGAGGAGAGACCAACGCGCAGGGAGAGCTTGGAGGCGGCAGTGCACGAGACAGGGAGGCGTCCCGAGAGAACTGGCCAGCCTCGAGTGGGGCGGGGCACTTCTGCCCCCCGCCCACCTCCATCATCCTTTCCCGTCCAGCTTCTCCCTCTCCCCTCCTACCCCTACCCACCGCTGTCTCCCTTCGCCTCCCCCTTCCCTCTCGCCGCCCCGGACACGGCCCCTTGCCACGGCCTCTCATCAGGGGCAAAGAGCAAAGATAGGGGATGGGCATAGGGGGGGATGCATCGAGCCCCAATCGCCCATTGATCGCCGATAGGGGTCTGATAGCCCCACCCCGCCCAGTAGCGTGCGGATTCGCTATCAGGGGCCCATCGCCGATCTATCGGAGTTGTATCGCCGATTCCAGGTCGATGTTTCCCCCCTATGTCAGCCCCTCCCCTATCGTTGCCCCTCATCTCAGCCAGCCCAGGTGCCAATACCCATGACAGGAGATCTTCTATTCCTCCTCCTCCTGCTCCTCCTCCTCCTCCTCCTCCTCCTCCTCCTCCTCCTCCTCCTCCCCCTTCGCTCCCTCCCGTCCTCCCTCCTGCATCCTCTTGGCTCATCCTTCCCCCCCTCGTTCAGCAGCGCCGGTTGAGCTGCGCCCAGGTTCCCCGAGCCCGTCCTGCTCCGCCGCCTGGAGCCCGATGCCGAGCCCGATGCAGGACAGGCCGAGCCGCCCCGAGCAGGCCCAAGTTGGCCTGCCGGAAGTCGTAATCGTCAGCATCGCCGTTGCCACCTTTCAAGGGCAACGTTAGGGGGGGATAGGCTCAGGGGGGACGCATCGACCCCCAATTGCCCACTGATCGCCGCTAGGGGGCGGATAGCGCGCCCCGCCCAGGAACGTGCGGTTTTGCTGTCGGTGGCAGATCGCCGATCTATCGGCGATGTATCGCCGATTCCAATTCGATGTTCCACCCCGTGAGTCAGCCCCCCCCCTTTCACTGCCCATCCTCACTGCCACGACCGCGGCTGCGGCTGCCCACGCCGCCGCCGCGCTGCCACTCCCACGGCCTCCACCACAGCAGCCGCCACCATCACCTCCACTGATCTTCAGCGCCACCCGTCCGCTAGTCCCCGCGCTTCGTTGGCGCCAGTCGTCCATATCACCATGCGACGGTGATTCGGTTGTGTGTTGTGTATATGTATATGTGTTTGTGTTTCTGCTTGTGCTTGTCTTTGTTTTTGTTGCTGTGTTTGTGTGTGTGCGTGGAAGTAGTGCTTCCTGGCACGCGGCACGGCCTGTCTGGGCGTGCGGGGTGCCACCATCTTCCCCTGTCCCCCTGTGGTCGCCTTCCTCGGCGCCCCCTCGGTCGGCCCCAGATGGGCCCGTCACTCTCCTTCCCCTCGTGGGAGCCCCGCCCGTGCGTCACTTGCACTGGCTCCGCCTATTCCCAAGCTGTGATGACGTGCGCCAGCTTCGGGATGGCGTTCGCTTCTCCACTGGTTGCCCCTGCCCCAGCACCGTACCCCCGCGGCTTGCTGCCCGGCCGCCTAGCGGCCTCGCCACTGGCTCGCCCGCCGCTCTCCGCCTGGGGCCGCTCTCGCAGCTGCTGCCGCGCCAGTCGCACCGCGCCCCTGGCCCGCCAGCGTTCTTCACGCCGCTGCCTCCCCCCAGCCTGGCGCCCGGGTTCTCGGGCCGCCTTTTGCTCCCTCTCCCTGCTTGCTGTGCTTCGCCCTTGGGTGCATCGCGATGCCGCCCAGCGACGGCTGCCAGGGGCTGCCCTTCAGCCCGGCCGCCACAGCCCGCTCGCCGCAGCCCCGCTGCGTGAGAGTGCCCTCGCGCCCGGTTCCCCCTTCCCGTGGCCGCCTCCCTTGCCTCTCCCCTCTTCCTCCTGCACTCGGGTTAATTCGCGATTCCGTGCCCTGGACTCGCGTGGACGCGCGAGCGGATTGCCCCTGCCACGCTGCGACGTAACGTGCGTGGATGCGTGTTTGTGCGTGCGCGCTTTCGTTTGTGTCAGTGTGTGTGTGAGTGTCCGCGTGTGCAGGTGCGTGTTTATGTGTGTGCGTGTCTCTGAGAGACCACCTGGGCGTAGGCGCGCGCGTTCCGCCGCGATGTTGTACGCCTTGTCGCCGCGCGCGGGGCCGCGACGCCAAACAAATCTAGTAGTCGTAATAGTAATAGTAATAGTAGTAATAGTAGTAGTAGTAGTAGTAGTAGTAGTAGTAGTAGTTGTTGTTGTTGTTGTAGTAGTCGTAATATAGTAGTAGTAGTAGTAGTAGTAGTAGTA